CCACAAGAGTTGACATTCAACTTAATGGTATTTTTGAAGTGTTTACAATGATCACCCTTCCTGCTCTTTCTGAGTTTCAGCTCACCATAGAGGACTTTTTGGGGAGTCTGTCATCACCCATTATGATAACATGACCTGTCTGTGACACTCTACCTCAGAGTAGCATCCTGGAACCCCCATATTCACCACTGTCATGTAATTATGATATGTTTTGTACAAAGTATGCCTTGTGAGGTATTAAGTCTTGATCCATTGGATTGTGTGTACTATCCTCGTATGTGAAGTTATGAAGTTTTGTTGTGTTACTGAAATATGTTGTGAGGCTGGGAACACCCAAAACCAGCCTTTCAGGTACAACAATGGCGTAGCCAGATGCTCTGATAGCCAATTAAAGAGAATCCACCCTCCCAATGGCCGTCCTAGAAGACTTCTTAGAGAGAACCTGTAGGCAATGGGGACTGTCTGATTCCCAAGTTAAAAGCTATAAAAGAGGGGAAGTGATATAATCACTTGTCCTGTCCCCCTCCGCCCTTCAACACTTGGAAGAAACGTCTGGAGAACAAAGACCTTGAACTGGCCGAGGGTGGTCCTGGGCTGAAAGGCAGTTCCAGCCTGTGTATTAAAGATCTGGCTGTATCATCTGTCAGGGTGAGACACTGCTTGATTCAAATCCTATTTCATTTGTAGAACTCAGACTGCGAATTTACTTTTATTTCTTAAGTAACCAACTTTTGATCTCTACGCTTGCTACTTATCACGTAAAACCTATCTTTCTGTAGTTAATAAATCTGTTTTATATTTTATATAAAACAGTGTGTTTTGGTTGAAGGGCTTGGGAAATCTCAGCTCAGTTTACCAAGCCTAGTATGTGCCCTCTCCACATAGAGGGAGGGACAGACTGGGTAATGAACTTACACTAGCCAGTCGTCTGACCAGTGCAAGACAGTACAGCTCTCGGGTGCAAAGCTGGGGAGTTGCGGGGAATTGGCTGGAGCCTCTCTGTTGATGGTTCATGAGTGGCTGAGAGATCATTCATGTAACTCAGTTGGGTGTGTCCCTGCCTGTGGATGTCTGTGTAAGTGCAGTGCCTGTCAGTGTTTGTGGCTTGACACAGCATCACAGCGTGAGAGGGATATACCCCAGGGTGGTGGGACAGAGGACTTAGTGGTCCCACTGTCCAGGGTGCACCATGGGGACCCCGTCATACCGTCCATATAAGCTGAGCTTCAGTAAATGACTGCCTCAGTACTTATTGTTTAGCTCTTGCAAGGATGTGAATTTTTGACACTTTGTCTTGCCAGCAAAGTAAAGACAATGCATGTGAAATTTTCCAAGTTGCTTGATGTTTCTGTGGTAAACTCTCCAAGTTTCACACCCGTATCACTGCTGCATTGTACAGGATCAGTTTTGCTAAGACTGATGGTATGCTGGTTGAGTATCTTGTGCCAAAGTTTTCTGAAAGCCTGGCTTTCTGTTTGACATTTCTTGATACAGAGAACTATAACGTTAGATGATACTGCCAAGCCATTCTATAGTTTTGTACCATGAATGGTGATATTTGGAGCAGTGGTAGTGACTGAAGAGGCTGCTTGGAAGAGTTCATTTTTTCCCCAGGCTGATGGGGAGTGCAAACTGTTTAGATATGGGGGATGGTTTAGCGAGACCACCATCTGAGAGAACTTGATCAGTTGTGTCTTTGTGGAATTGATATAGGATATTAGCATATTTGGTGGGTCAGTCAAATATCTCTAGAATTTTCCAGAGACCATTTGTGCTGACAGTGTTGAATGCTTTTTTTAGATTAATGAAGACAGCCTTTGTTTCGTTCAATGCAATTTTACTGAATCGGTCCCTCTCTCAAAAAAAAAGTGTGGTGCTTGGACCTGATCTAAATTTACATTGGGTCTCTGATAGAAGTTTCTCTGATACTGTTTCAACAAGCCAATGCACAAAGTACAAGCAAGGATCTTACCACCCTGTTGACAGAAGAATGGCGCACGCTATCTTTACAGAGCATGGTGTACACGCTGATGAGTTCTTTCGCTTCTGAGTCTGATGCATCAGTTACAGTCCCATCCATAGGTAGGGCACACCCATGCACTGCAATGCTCTGAGTCCGAGCAGCAGATTCTTTCCTCCTCTGATGCTGGTCATGACAAAGCATGATCCAGTCCGCCTCACAATGCCTTGCTCCATCTACAAGCTGACTCCACCAACCAGAGCTGTGTTCTGCACTCCTTTCCCAATCATCCACAGACGTTCCAAAGGATACTAAATCATCTTTGCAAGCATCCTGAAATCTGCGCAGTGGTCTGCCTCTCTTTCTAGACTCTTTGCGAACTTCAGAGTATAGCACAATCTTCAGGATCCTGTAATCTGGCATTTGCTTGACGTGTCCAAGCCACCTGAGTCTTTTCTTACTGCATCAACATTCCTATGAATGACGTACCAGCACGATTTAACACTTCCACATTTATCACGCTGTCTTGCTATCTTAGAAGAAGAATTTTTCACAAGCATCTGATATGAAAACTGTTTAGTCTTTTGGTATGTTTGGCATAAGTCATCCATGTTTCTGAGCTACGTAGAAGAGTGCATAAGCCTCATGTCTCATAAATATGGATTTTTACTTTAGTTGACAATTTGTTACTGTTCCAGGTTCTGTCTTGGAAAAGACCAAAGTTCCTGGCTACTTTGCCGATTCTACTAGTGAGCTCAACGTCAAGATCTACTTTGCTGGTAACAGTAAAGCCAAGGAGGAGCCTCGATAGCAGGGAAGCCCTGATAGTAGAGCCCTGATAGCAGGGTAGATAACCTGATAGTTGCCACAATCAGATTTATTGCCTTTATTTTTGTATAGTATAACTATGATTGCATCTTTTGAAATCCTGAGGAATTTTCTCAGTTTCCCAAATATCCTTAATAATTTCATATAGATAGTTGACAGTTTGGAGACCTTCAAGTTTAATTATTTCAACTGCTGTTCTGTCTTTCCCTGGTGATTTACCTGTCTTCATTTGTTCACAGCTTTTTTGCACTTCTTCAGCGGGAGGTAGCTTCACAATTTCTTCATGTATGGGGTGCTGTGTTAGTTCCTCTGGCAACTATGAGTTAACAGTAGAGGGAAGGTTGAGTAACTCAGTAAAGTGGCACACATCTTTTGGAGTTGTCTGTCTTGTCCTTGATTAAGGTAGATCCATCTGAACTCTTTAGTGGAGCTGGACCTGATTTCAATGGGCCATAAATGGCCTTCAGCGAGTTAAAACAACTTTGTGTTGTTACTATTGGCATAATGCTGTATTTCTTCGGCTTTCTTTTCCCACCAGTTATCCTGTAGAACACAAAGCCGTTTTTGAGCCTTGGCTTGCAGGTACTTGAATTTATCTTTGTTTTGATGTTGATTCTTTATCGTTTTGCCAAGCCATAAATGCATCATTTTTTTCCTTGAGGATCTTTTTGATTTCTTCATAATTTTCATCAAAACAATCCTGGTGCCATCTTTGATTTTTGCCTAGAGTTTCTTCTGTTGCTTGGAGGGTGGCTGATTTCAGTATATACCACTTTTTGAGAGTGTTTTTTGGGTGATGTAATGCTATCAATTTTTTTCCTCTGTTTTCTCTCAGTTTTTCTTGATGAAATGGACATTTCAAGTTTGCTATGTTCAATTTTAGTTTGATCTGTTCGGCACTGACATTGAGTGGAATACCACATGTAAAATGAAAATGGCTCTGGTCATCCTGTGATCAGTCCAACAATTTGCTAATCTTGATGTCCCTAATGTCTCTTTGCTGTATAATGACGTAGTCAATCAGGTGCTAGTGCTTTGATCTCAGATGCATCCATGAAGTTTTATATTTGTCGGCTTGCCTAAAGATTGTGTTGATAATAACAAGCTCATGTTCAGCACACTTCTTGAGTAGGAGGAGACAGTTGCTGATACCATAATTCTTGATTAGACCAGTTGAAGTCCGCACTGTCTTTTCCAGCTCTGGAAGTAAAGTCTCCCTAAGGTATGAGTTTGTCTTCACTCGGTGTAGATTTGATTGTCATCCAAATCAGAATAGAACTATTCTTTTAGTTCTTCCGTACTCTTCATGGTTGGAACATAAGCACCGATAAGAATCACAAAGCATGAATTTCTAAGGGAATTCATAGAGTCATTAGGTGTTCATTTTTGCCCCTAGATAAGTCTTTCACTGATTTCAGGAAACTGTTTTTAATGGCAAAACTAATGCCATAAATTCTGTTTTCCTCTGTTGTTTTCCCTTTCCAAAAGAAGGTATAGCCACCTCCTAATTCCTTTTTGTAACCTTCATCTGCAAATCTGGTTTTGCTGAAGGTAACTACATTGATGCGGTATCTAGCAAGTTACCTTACAATCAGTGCTGTACATCTTTCAGGTCTTGATGTATTATCTCTGTCCGTTAGTTTCTGTATGTTTCATGTCACCACAGTGAGAGCTCTTATTTTTCTTATAGAACAACCTCTTTTTGGATGATCTACCAGTTGTGGTGAACTGGCCAGATTAGAGTAAACTTTAAATAAACTGACCCACAAAAGTATTGTGCCTGATGTTCACTAAACCCCGATAGACAATTTACTGTACTACTTGAGGGGAGATATTTAAATTATGGAACATATCTAACTTTATTCTACAGTTTGGCCTCCACTTGCTATAGGGGTGTAGCCTCAATTTGACTTCTACCGAACCTAGAGGTGAGATGTGAAGAGGAAGTTCCTAAAGTCACGGTTGTGGCCCTTCATTGTTGACACAGTTTCACTGGGAGTTCTGTCCTTTTGCTCCTAAACAGCTCTAATTAATCTCATCCCTAGAGAGAGCCAAAGCCAGACTGGCTTTTACTTTGAAACATACACTTAAAAGGGATTTAGCATTCTCATATGGAATTTGCCTCTCTACTTTCTTCCTGCAAAATTCAGGCTGTATTGATGTAGTTTGCATTGCCCCTTATACTGTTGGGTTTTATGTTTCCTTTCTATAGGCGAAATGAGGAATGATTTATACATCACTATAGAAAGAGGAGAATTTGAAAAAGGAGGAAAAAGTGTGGCCAGAAACGTGGAAGTGATGATGCACATTGTGGACAGTGGTGGCCAAGTTTTAAAGGTACTACTTTGACACTAACTGTGAAGAACAATAATAGAGAGAGTGAAGGCTTGTGTTTAGTGTTGATGCTGAGCAATTATTGTAAATTTAAACTAACAATGTTTTTTTCTCAAAATCCTTTTTTATTTCCTGACAGATATTATGATTTGTCATATTAACCTTTACCTGAATGTCCTATTAACAGACCATATTGCTAAACTGCATATTAGCAAAAGATATGTAATAACTGGCCTTAGAGCAAATATTTTCACTTGTACTGTGAGATATAAATTAAATTCGGAATTCTCTCTCCTTAGAATAAGCTACTTGCTACCCCAACTACTGTAGTTTAGTCAATCAGTGATAGCTAATATGTTTTTGCAAACTACTTACACTGTCTTCCATTTTTGTGTATATTTTTGTTGTTTGTTTGGTCATAGGTTTTCTGGATATTTTTGTGGTAGCTAACTTTTAATGTTGCAATACTTTAATATTGAGGAACGTTTTTAAAAATAAAAATGAAAACCTCTAATAAATATGTTCACATTCAAATATATCCCTCAGTTATTTGATGTTAAGAGAAAAGGCAACAAAGATTAGCAAATGAAGTTATTTTAATTAATTCATAATTATTACAATGTGGAAATTAACCCATTAATTTAAGAGAATAATTAATGCACTTAATTATATTGAAAATAGACTTGCCTATTTAAATAAATGGGCCATTCCCAGACCCACCCACTTATTTCTACACTCTCTTTAAGGCACAATTGATTTTACACTCCAAAGTGCAAATACAGGAAAGTATCCCTCTTCAGGAAAGTATTTAAGTGGATATTTAAAGTGCATGCTTAATTCCCATTTCAGTCAATAGGCCTTCTGCACATGCTTATAATGAAGCATGTGTTTAAATACTTTCCTGAATTTGTAGCATAGGCACAGATCTAGCAGAGCACCATGTGCTTATATTTTAAGCATATGAATATTTCAGTTAAGTGGAAATGCTTATATGCTTAAAGTTGAGCATTTGCCTAAGTTCTTTACTCGAATGGAACCTTAAGTACCACCTGTCTAAAATATTCATATGTACACAAGTGTCCTTGACTTCCCAATATTTTCACTTACAATTCCAGGTACATTTCTTTGAAAATTACCTTTTTTTGTGATGAATACAAAATGCAGTCTGATAGTGTCTTTATTGCTCCCAGTAGGACTTGGATTAAGACACAAGGCAGAGATGGCAATGCCTCAGCCTGCAGCTTTTATTGAGCACTTCCATTATCAATCAAGACTCCCAATCGTTATCCGTCCTGTTTTGTCCTGTTCCATTTAAATCGTAGCCTGTCAGTTCTACATGTGTTGAGTCACTTTAATGTTTGACCAAACAGACCAAAGTCCTGAGAGGAGAACGAGAGGCCACACATGGAATGTGCTAAATCTCTGTACAGTATTAAATCTGGCTCCCATTTACACACTCATACCACATCAGTGCATATCCTCCCACCCACTTCCACCTATAGTCAGGTTTATTGTGAGGTGTGACCCTGCTAATGCACCAAATCAGAATGGACTCTTGCCAGTTGTAAAGTTGGGACAAAACGAATAAAGCTAAACCTCACCCTCCTGTAATAATACTAGGTGAAGCTCAGACATTTGCAGAGCCCTCAGCTATGGTACCTGCTAGCTGCTCTAGAGGAAATCCAAAATCACCATCATCTTGTCACACAAGAATGGGGCAAATATTCCTTCCCTTCTCCAGATTTGAAGGCCAGCTCTTGCCCTTAGCATGCTAGCAAGCACCACTTATGTCCTACATGTAATGATAGATAACCGGAAACTTCAAAGTGAAGAAACTTCCAAAACAAATGGCCCATATTAGGTATAAAAAAGTCATAGGGTCATGGGTGCAAAGGATGAAGAGTGTGTTCCAGCTTACTGATGGTAATTTATATTACCTATAGGAAGTGGGCAGACAGCCCAGAGACTGAAACAATACAAATCAGCCTGCCCACCTGCTACCCTACAGAGAGGAATCCATAGACCACAAGGCAATCTAAATTGTGTTCTTAACCACCTTCAGAGAATACACAATTGCATTCCCCACGCATTCGGGGGCACACTATTACAAGAGAGAACAAGTTTATTTTAGATTATCCCAAAGATCTTGGAGCCTGGAGAACACCAATTTCAGGGCTGATCTCACATCACTTTATAGTTAATCCATCTTTAAACCTTTAACCCAGTTGTTTTCTTCATTAGGATTTTATCTCCTTTGGCTCTGGAGAGCCGCCAGCTAGCAAGTTCCATTCCTTTGTGCTTTATCACAACAACAGTCCCAGATGGGCTGAGCTGCTGAAACTTCCTATTCCTGTGGATAAATTCAGGGGAGCACACATCCGCTTTGAATTTCGGCATTGTTCTAGTAAGCGTTGTTCATGATTTATTGCAGTGCTTTGTGTTACAGTTGCATTAAGCGTATTGAATTTCATAACATCTAAACAGCAGGTAAATATTCTTTACCTATAAAGTTTCATGACGGCGCTTTTCAGGTTTTGCCTTCTGCTTTGGTGAAATAGGAAAAAAAAATGTAATACCTTGAGAAACTGACCTAATTTTATTAAATGGGAAAATGCAACATGAAGGGTGCAAATTTGAACACAAATTCAGGAAATGCAAAATCCAATCCCAGAATTAACTTGGCTAATTGCACAGTGATATCTGTTCACTTACACATGTAGCAGTCTAACCCAGTAACAGAAAGTATTGCATATATGTGTAGTGTAGCCAGGATAATGTTGTTATTGGAAGTGGACATTTTCTGACTTTCTGGTTTTGATGTAACATTAGTAATAAAAAAAAAAAACACTCACCAGGGCTAAAACACAAGGCACACACACAGTTGCAAATACTTTGAGCTGCAAAGCTCAGGTGTGGATCTCAACTTCCCTTGAACTTTAGGATGTTGGGTCCAAGGTTTTGAATTGGGCCCATCTGCAGTAAATACATTGCATCAAAGAAATTACAAGTTCATCACATGTCCTCAAAGGAAACCACAAATGGATATTGCAAGGAAATCCTCTTTGAGGTATCTAAGGGCTTGTCTACACTGGCAATTTACAGCACTGCAACTTTCTCGCTCAGGGGTGTGAAAAAACACCCCTCTGAGGGCAGCAAGTTTCAACGCTGTAAAGCACCAGTATAGATAGTGCACCAGCGCTGGGAGCTGCGCCCCTCATTGAGGTGGGTTTTTTAGAACACTGGGAGAGCTCTCTCCCAGCGCTGCGCCGCGACCACACACGGCACGTTAAAGCGCTCCCACGGCAGCGCTTTAGCGTTGCCAGTGTAGATTAGCCCTTAGTAACTTTTGGGAATTTGGCATCAATTCACAGAAAAACAACGCACTCATAACCTTAGGAAGGGGATTTACTTCATAAACAAACATGAAAAGAGACATAAGGTGTGCTGGTGCTAACTAGATGTAAATGGATGCCAAATATACACATTCACATGTTGGATTATTTTCAGTTGCTTTGTCTAAGGGCTTTTCTTCCCTGCAACGGTTAGCATAAATGCACTCAAGTTACTCCACTGGGACTAGCCTAGCTCAAGTGAGAACAACCATACTGGGAAACAACACAGAAGCTACACAGAGTGATTGGATTAGCAGTTGATGAGTTGTCCTAACTGGAGCTGCTGCATCCCTATAGCACTATTAGCAGAGTGTCAGCAGCACTCAATCCTCAACACCGCGTCCCCCTTAATCCTGACTGGCCAGCTAGCTGGAGTTTAAAGAACCACTTAACTCAAGCTAGAGATTTTTGTGTGTGGACAGGAGTTGGGGTGGGGCAAAACTCAGGTTATACCTCAAGCTAACAGTGCAGTAAAGAAAAACGCTACGACATACATTATAAATCTAAGTCCAGAATGTGAGTGTTTTTATTTATATATGTTTTCAGCAAAAGAAAAGGGTGAGAAGAAGTTGTTTGGCTTTTCTTTCGTGCCCCTGATGCAGGAAAATGGGAGGACATTGCCAGATGGCACTCATGAACTCATTGTGCACAAGGTAATTTCAGTCAGAAATCATTCTGTGATGATTCCTCTGAAAAGTACTCCAAATGCCCAGAGGCGTTAAACAAGGGAAGACTGAACTGTTAGCAAATGAATGATAGTCTTATTGTTAAAATGTCCTCTCAACATTCTGTTGAGCTTATGTTCTCTGTTTATAATTGCAGTTCAACCTAGTTATGTATTTCAATGCAGCACGTACTGTAAAGTCACAGTACCTCAGAATGTAGATTTAAATAAAACCTCAGTTGCATAAAGAATTCCATAAACCTAGGGTTGCCATATTTAAACAGTGAAAAAAGAGGACACTCCATGGGGCCCCCGGCCCCGCCCCAACTCCGCCCCTTCCCAACCCCCAGCCCAACTCTGCCCCTTCCCCGCCCCTGGCCCTGCCCCAACTCCACCCCTTCCCCACCCCCATTCCAACCCCTTCCCCAAAGTCCCCACCCCAACTCCGCCCCCTCCCCTGAGCACCCCGCATTCCCCCTCCCGCCCCCCGGGCTCCGGCTGCTGCTGCGTTGGGGAAGTTGCTTCGGCCCCCGCCGCGGTGGAGAGCGTCGGGAGCCGGGAAAGTTGGAGCCCGGGGAGGAGGCAGCTGCGCGCTCGGATGCTGCCGCCACCTCCGTGCCCCGGCAGATCGGGGGAGTTGTTAGTTTTGGCTTTGCTGCAGCCACTTGCACTCGTGGTCCCCTTACCATGCCTCCCTATTTTCCCGGACATGTTTGGCTTTTTGGAAATTCCTCCCAGATGGGGATTTGAGGACCAAAAAGCCGGACATGTCTGGGAAAATCTGGACATATGGTAACCCTAATAAAGCTAAAAATTTTCACAATGTAAAAATGATAGCCACTCTTGGAATATATTTGACCAGGTTGACCCCTCCCAGGGCCAGCTATTCTGCAGCAGATCTGCTATGTGAGGTCTGTTAAAAAAAATTTCATTCAAATGTGCATGCAAGAAGCTGTATCTGTGTTGAGATGGAATTTGATATACACCTAATAAATAAAACAACTTGCAATGTGTAGGTGCTGCTCTAGTCAAAAAACTGTGCAGAATGATTAGTGTTTTACACCAGATGTTTGGGTACTATCTAAACCCACAGATCGAATGAGGATTTTCCCATCTATAACAAGAGCTACCCATGAAAGCTCTTGTATAGGCAAACGTTCTTGTTATGCTGAGATGCAAGCTTAAAATTATTTCTAACTTTGCTATTTGAAAACGCTAGTCATTTTAAATTATGCAACAGGCAGACTCATCTTGTCAATAGTTGAATCTGCTCTGGAGCCAGTCAGTGGCTGAGAAGGCCAGAGACAGACTCTGCTGGAGAGAAGACAAAGAATTAATAAGACTTGTAAAAACTTTTTGTTGTGTTAGACTCTAGTACCGATAACATACTAGATATTTCAGTATATTTTTGAAATAGGGTGGTTTAAAACATCAGGTGCTCAGTTTTTCTGCTGTTTCTCTGTGCGTTTATAATGCAAATCTAATCTTTGGACATTTGTGCTGTTCTTATAAATGTTTAAACATCTTTAAGAGACATGTCTGCTTGCTTCATAATTTATTCAATGATTTGTACGTGCATTATTTTAAGTTGTGTGTTTTGAGAGGTGCTTGATTAAAGATTGTAGGCTATGTATGTAAAATAAAGCAGTCAGCAACAAAGACAATGCAATGTTTTACATGTACATTTTTTGAAACAAAAAACATACTGTTTCTAACAGATTTGGCTTGTTGCAATGCAGTTTGGGTGAGAGCCCCCACTGGTGAAAATTGTCATAGCTCCATTGACTTCAACAGAGCTACCACCATTTGAACAAGATGAATCCTTTGTTTTTATTCATTGCAATGATTTTAACTTGGTTGTTTTCACAGTGTGAAGAAAACACAAACCTTCAGGATTCTAGTCGCTACCTCAAACTCCCCTTTTCAAAGGGAATTCTCCTAGGGAATAACCACCAAGCAATAAAAACCACTAAAGAGTCTTTCTGGATTACGTCTTTTCTCTGCTCCACTAAACTCACGCAAAATGGTAGGATGATATGTTGATTATTTAAACATGATGAACTCAAGTGAATTTGATGGGTGGTTTTTTCAACACCAAATGGGCAGTAAAGCACTCGTGTTGTGACATAAAAGATAGCTGATGCTCTGTTTTGAGGTTTTAAAAACCAGTATTTTTCCTTAATTTTGATGACCAGATGGAAACAAATGGTACATGGTGAACCACTGACTATGCAGTTCAAGGATGCTTTTAAATTAACATAATATTGGAATCACATACATTATTTTTAGAATCAGTCATCAGAACCCAGCTGCTCTGAAAAATCTCTTAATCTGTTTGTTTGATAGTTATTTTAAAAATGTTTATTATAGGCTTCAGAGTAAAGCAGTTTTCATTTAATTAGATGGTTATTGCTTTTCTGATATGACATCGCATTCCCCCCTTTTAAGTCAATGATCATTTAGCAAGTTATGATTAATGAAAATAACCTTATATTCCTGATAGTGTTGTGAATATATAATCTATGATGAAGCATACAAGCAGATTTATGTTTTGAGTTTTTCCAGTATACCACGTAAGATTCTTGCCTTGGTTCCCTTATGCCTAATAGTATGATTCATAACAGCAAGGAAGTGTGGCAGGGCACCTTCTTCGTCTCGCCACACTTAGCACTTCCCCCCTCTGGCGATGGTGGGCCTGGGGTAATCAGCCCCATTCAGGCAGGGGTTGCCTTCCCCCTTCGGTGCTCCCTTGGTCATATTTTCAGGGTATGCCTGAGGGTTGTCCTAAGGGGTGATCCTCCACCAAACAAAAAGGAAACAGTCTCATAAACAAACAAAAAAACCCCAGGATTGGTACCTTTCGCTGCCTCCTCACTGGTGCAGGGTGTCGTCCTGTTGGTTGCTCTGGGGTGTCAGTCCTTCCCCTGGCAGGCACTCAGGTTTGGCTCTTTCCCCTATGGGAAGGAGCACAGCCTTTCACCCTGGAGAGGCTTATTTCCCTACTGCCACTAGCCTGGCAGCAGCTTCTCTCTCTCTTCCTCCTTTCTCTCACCAGAGGAGGGGTTTTTAAAGGCCTCAGGCAGCCCTTACTTGGAATCAGGTGTCCCTCATTGACCTGAGGTAACTCCTCAGTTAGTAGGGAAGAGGACCTTTAACATTCTGGGGCTAATGTATCTGCCTTCTAGCACACTCTTACAGTCATCCAGCCTGACTTTGTCACAGAAACTACTCACAAACTACTCATATTTTTCTCATAAATATTCTTTATGTACACTTGGGACAGTTCTTTGATATCCTTTTTTGGTTTTGTTTTTTTGTTTTGTTTTTGTTTTTTGGTGTTTTGGTTTCATTGTTGTTAGTTTTTGTTTTGAGTGCTCTGAACCCATTTATTACTGCCAGTTTAGGAGAGGTGCTGTGATTTCCCCATGGTGCCTGTTCTGCCAGTTGTTGTTCAGCAGGAACACCAGGAAGTCAATGACCATTGAATGTTGTAGACTAGCTAGTCCTCAGTCGTTTTCACATGTTGGATAGCCACAGCCAGACAGAGGACCTTTTTCATTTGAAATTTGATAGTAGACACAACTTCATTGACCTTGGCCACCATGTTCTCAATGTGAATGAGGAGAGAGTCCAGTTTTGTTCAGACCTGGACCTAGGATACAAGGAATCTGTTAGATCAGTGATTCTGAAGCCAGGAAGGCATTGTATTTTTTTAGCCAGCTTTTTCACTAGCTTCTTTTTCTTGTTGAGTTTCTTCAGAGCCTCTGTGTTTGTGTGAGGTATGTTGACTGCTTTGGCCTCATCACAATGTTGCTGGTCTCCCAGCATGCAGACTGAGAATTTAGGACATGGAGTGGACTTAGGCCTGACTTTGCCAGAGAAACACTTATCCTTCTGTGGGTCACAGTTTTTTAGATTGATCTGCAAATCTACAGTTTCCAAGAACTTATGTGGTTCACTTGAGTCCCTTTACAGAACCTCCCTCATTGCTTTGTGGAGAATGTTGTTGTAAAGCTTCTCTCTCCGAAGTATCTTCTTTGGGGAGGTTCGTGTTGGTGAGTTTCCAGCCCCTCATTCTGAATAAACAAAAAAATGGCAGAACATTGCATGCTTAGGAAATGAATGCAAAGGACCTGGATGTTTGGTCATGTGAGCATTCACTCTGTTGGGATTCTGCATGTTTATTAAAAATAGTTAACAAAATTTAAATTATACATAGATTTACTTTTATCCAACAAACAACTGTATCAAATTAACTAGTACAAATTTTACTAAGTAGGTCTGTTTGTTTGTTCATTTTTCAAAGTTATGAGAGACCCAGATGTGCCTAGACACAAAGGGTATCTACCCTGTCTGTAAATAGGAAGTGAGGACATTTTAGCCAGTTGGCCTGCATTCAGTACTGATGCTTACTACCAATTGAAATGAGCACAAAGAAGCAGCTGTTCCACAGTGAAAGGACATGCGATATTAGCGTGTGTATTTCAAGTGATGGACCTGTCCTTAAAATTCATCTATCCACATTCCAACAAACACCATTCAATATCTGATGATAGATAATAAGAAAACAGGAGTGACTGCACTTGGGGGATTCTGGAATTCCCAGAACTGAACTTTTCAGAATATTATATACTATATATGGGAATTTCATATTCCATTTTGGAGAATAGTAGGCCACATGACTTTCCCTCACATGAAAACTTTAGGATTTATGGGAGAAGGATAGAAATTTAATCCCAAATGCTTTCCTTATAAAGATGATCGTAACCCTTTTTTTTTAAACTCAAGAAGTTAGATCAAAACCATTGCCGTAGTGCCAAAGGGTTTATTTTTTTAAACTAACAAATCAGCTCATGTTTAAAGAGTAGGCCTGTGAAATGTGTGTTTTTCGCTCCTCTTGAGTGCAATTTTTTTCACCACCATTGACTTTTTCCCCATTCAAACCTCCATTTTCCTGAAAGGTTTGTTATATTCTCATCTCTCTGTTGAGAACTGTTTCATTTTCTGGTTTCTCTTGACATGTGAAAGTGATTGTCTCTTTACCCTGTCACTTGGGATTCTCAGACCTCATATTGTTCTTGTATTCAGTTCATTTCATTTATACTTGAACTATTCCCTAGTTGTATTTTTCCCCTTAAATGATTTATTTGAAGTGAACATCTTAGAGTTGCATTTTTTTATCCCCAACAAATCCTTCGTAATGAGAATCAACCCTCCACCCATCTAGTTCCTTCAGAAAAAAGTGAAAGTAAACATTTTTCCTGCTATGTCTTTAACCAGTCTCACTACTTGATGATCCAAGAATCAAGTTACATTGCTAGTTGCGCCATCCAAAAGTTGCACTTCATCAAAGATATGGTGCATACTTGCTTGAAGAAGGAAGGAGAGAGCTGCAATCTGGCATTGGTCCTTATATCCATGCAGAGTTCCATTGAATTCTACAAGGGAGCTTAAGGGTCCACCTGCATGGATCCCTGCCGCACCCTCTGACTTAAAGTGGTTTCCATCATACACAGGGTTTACAGTTTGGTTCAATGGCTCTCAGCATCTCCCCTATACAAATTGTTCCAACACTTCTGTTGTTGGAATGAGGTCCTGAAGCTGGCCTTAATCAAGAATGATCTCTTTGACAAGTGTTCAAAATTATTAATGGAGCAATTGCAAGTTGTGGGTGAACAAGCTGGCTAGACCATGTTACTGCAGACCATAGGCAGTTCCCTTATGAGATGATGTAAGCTCAGTTTTCGTATATGGTTGCAATTGTAGAATTTTAAAACCTGAAGTGCTGGCATTCTTTCAGCTGTAATCTTTAGTGTGTTTTTTGCAGGGGATATGCTTGATCTTCTTAAGTGGAGAGCCCACCCGGACAAAATAGCAGGCTGCCTCACAAAACTAAAAGAAATCGATGGTTCAGAAATAGTAAAGGTATATATTGTTCTTTCCTTGTTTGCTTTGGAATTAACTAATGTAAGGAAAATAATTTATTTACATCTTACAAAGAAGTACATTTGATAATAAATTATTGTTATTCTTCCTCCACTTATAGTTTCTTCAGGACACACTGGATACTTTATTTGGCATTTTAGATGAAAATTCCCAAAAATATGGGTCAAAAGTATTTGATTCTTTGGTAAGTTGTACTTCATGGTTCTGCATAACCATGCTTACAATAAAGGTACTTGATAATTTTTAAATAGGATTTTAACACTTTAAGAAATGAGAAAAGGGCATTACATTTTTTCTTTTTCCTTTTTTCTTTAGGTTCACATAATAAATTTGCTGCAGGACAGCAAGTTTCATCATTTTAAGCCAGTAATGGACACTTACATTGAAAGTCATTTTGCAGGTGCACTTGCATACAGGTAAGGTCCCAACTTTTTGTAACTGTTTGGAATTTTGACAATTATAGGTACTAAGCAGAGCAGCCATAAACTTCAATTAATAGATGTATTGAACTTAATTTCTTCTGATACTATATTTTAATTCCCAAAATGAAGTCCAATAATAGCTGAAATAATTTTAAATGATCAGAGAAACGACTTCCTTCAGTTCTAATATTGGATTAAGAACTAGACTTAGAATAGTCTATCCTTAACTTGAGCATAATGGATGATAACCAGATATTGATCTTGGATTTGAACATCAAGTAAAAATAAATTAAATAAATTGCATTCCTCTTTATGTAACTTGCCACCACATTATGACAAGCTAGAGCTTAAAACTAGACCCAGTTGAAATTTTTAAATTTGAAATTTCAAAAATCTTGGGAAAAATTTTGCAAAATATTCTGTCCGTCTCCCACCCTTCTGCTCCCCTCAACCTGCTCAACTTAAAACCCACTTCTTCCCCAAACTTTTCCAATTCTGATCTCACCAGTGGTGTCCTTTTATTCAGGCCCACCTGAAATGTGGCAATTGATGTCTGGGTTTTTTGGACTGTAAATTCTAATATTCCTATTATTCATCTCATGATGAACCACAGCCACCTGGAGGATATTATATGGCTACATAACTGTTTAGGACAGGAAGTGAAGATCATGGTGGTGATCCTGAAAAACTTACACACATGTTTAAGTTTATGCCCTGAAAAGTCCCACTGACTTCAATGGAACTTCCCACAGTACTTTTAAATTTAAATACATGCATAAGTCTTTGCAGGATCAGGGCTTTGTACTTTATCCAACTGAAGATTCTTAGGTATTCAGAATGCAAGTATCCACACTGGAATTTGGTCAGGACGCTATGGCTCATAGCCCTACTATTGTGGAAAATACCATGAGATCTTTAATGACTGTAAATGGTTAGGAGGACATTTCTGATACATCTAAATCAAGAGAGACTGCTTCCAGCAATGCAGTACCCCTACCATCATGGTGTTCTACTGCCTCAGAGTATACAGTACTGAATACTGAATCATGAACCTCACTTATTTCCAGACTCTGCTTAGTCATTGTTGACTTACCATCTAAGGGCTTGTCTACACTTACTGGGGCATCGACATGCGGCGATCAATGCATCGGCAGTTGATTTAGCGGGTCTAGTGAAGACCCGCTAAATCGACCACAGAGCGCTCTCCCGTCGACTCCTGTACTTCACCTGAACGAGAAGCACAAGAGGAGTTGACGGGAGAGTGTCTCCCTTTGACATAGCGTAGTGTGGACCCCGCGGTAAGTAGATCTAAGTACGTGGACTTCAGCTACATTATTCACATAGCTGAAGTTGCGTAACTTAGATTGATCTTCCCCGTAGTATAGACAAGGCCTAAGTACTGTTCAGGTTCAATGCTGCTTAGTTTTAGTGATCTAATGAGATCACAGTACAAAATCACATGACTTCAGGGAGAAGCAGAGACTATTTTAAATGCAAATTGATTTGTTCTTATGCATTAAATTAGTTTTTGCATCTTTGTCAAAGCTATTTAAGTGTTTATACTTAGTTAATGAAAATTTGAATGTAGTATTATCAGATGACTTTGTAGCATATCTACAATTGAGTGAAAGTTTGGCCCTGTTATTATGCACAATACACTGCCTTTACAAGTTGAGCAAACTGGTAATTGCTGGAAGAAGACACCTTGTGTTTCAAAACTTTTTTTGTGTTTATTTTATGAAAGCTATTTGTTCACATTTCAAATCCTAAATTATTATAGTCCATATTAAGAAATTTGTTAAATAACGCTTTCCACTCTTCTGCACTGTAATCATTTTCCTTTTTATGTTCTAGAGATCTTATAAAAGTACTTAAGTGGCATGTTGATCGAGTAACAGACATGGAGATACAAGAGCATATCCATGAAGTGTTAAAGGTAATAGAAATCATCAGAGACAGTAACACACCTGACCAGTGCATTTGTATAGCAGTGCTAATTTAAATCAATTGATTTCACATGCATGGTATATATGAGTGGTAGAATTATAAAACCTGTTCAGTGCACTCACACACCTGTTGGGTACAGTCAGTCAGTTTATTCGCCTTTCTGGAAACTCTTAATTGTGAAAAGAGTTGATTCATGGTGTTCACTCCAGTAGAACTCAGGAACTGAGGACTCATTTGTTGATTGCAATACGGATAGTGGTTGGTTTCAAGAAACCTTATGTAGATTACACAAGTGTTAATTATGTCTGTGATAAAATAGAAGACTACAATGACCAGATAAAGCAATTTAATGAGACAGTCCTTGTGTCCCAGACAGTTCAGTTAAAACTGGAGTTTTGGTTTGGTTTCAGTCAAACCAAGCTACCATCAGTCACCCTCTCTGTTCCTCTTTCTCTGCCTCTCTGTCATCCATTTCCCTCCTCACTTGCAGCTGTTGGCATAAGGGTTTGCTTCACCTCTTATTTGAAGTTGAACATTGTGTTATATTATCAATCTACTTAGTATATACTCCAGCAATTTGCAACTTAAGGTCAGCTTGTTTTGTCACTGATGATGCCTCATTCTCTGGTTACCATTAAGAGGAAAGCATTTTTGTTTAAATGGGAAAACAAATAACTAGATTTCCTAGTCCTCAATGCTACCTCTTGATGAGCAAGTGCTCCCTGGTGTATAGATTTTATTAAAGGAAAAAGAGTAAAAAATGTTGAAAGGCCTTATTAAAAGATTGGCAGTAGATCACTGCTAATAAGAAGATTACAAACTTTCCAGATTTAAATGGCATGTTCTCCATACTGACAAATGCTATAAATATGTTTGAATTATATAAATTTGCTATGTTTTAAGTTTACTAATGTTAAAGAGGAATGAGTTCAATATGATTCAGGATCTTTGTGTTTTGACATTTGTAGGCACAAGAATATATCTTTAAATATATAGTTCAGTCTCGGAGGCTGTTCTCGCTTGCCACTGGTGGACAAAATGAGGAGGAATTCCGCTGCTGTATTCAAGAGTTGCTTATGTCAATACGATTTTTCCTTTCCCAAGAGAGCAAAGGGGCTAGCGCTTTATCTCAATCACAAGTAAGTATCATGAGTTTGCTCGGTTTGATTATTATCATTACCAGTATTCAATGGGAAAATGTGTGTGCGTGTGTGTTTGTTACATAGAATGTCAAATTCATGTTGTCTGTAGTAAATTGATAGTTCCAGTTAATGCTTGCACCAGTTGTGGCTTATAATGGAAATTTTCCATACCTCCAACTTCTGAATAGCAGAACTAGGGTTACCTTAGCCAGAGTGTTTGTTTTGAATTGGAAAGGGATTGTATTCTGTTAATACTTGTTCCAGTGGTTAGAAGAAATCATAACTGCAAAACAGAAATGGAATGGCGTCTCCACATGATTTTGGGTATTCAGTGTTGCATCATTGCCCAGCTTGTTTAAGCACCTTGAAACCTGATCTCTTGAACCCCCAAGAAGTTTTCTCACTTTTAAAGGTTTAATATAATAATCTTACTAATGAGCACATTGTGCTGTAATCAGATTCTTAAATTACACTGGGCCTATTAAAATTGACCAGTGCAAAAGGCAGTGGTCAAAACACATTGAGAACAACTCTAAAAATCCAAAATTTTATACAATGAACAGAGCTCTCACTTTGGGGAAAAAACATTGGACCCTAGGTATCTTCAGAAAATGTTTGAGTGCATCCCCAGCCCTCTCCATGTCAGATTCTCCTGACCAAAGATCTGCTTTTCCATGATCGTTCATCCCTTTGAGCTGCACAGAAAACTATGTTTCAGGGAAAGACAAAATTAGTAGCAGAAGAGCAGAGGGATGATTAGGCCAAATTCTTCCATCGGATCTCATATGAGCAGCTTAACGGAAGTATTTTGGGTGGAATCATATAAATGAGCAACTCTGGGATTTTCCCACATTCCAAGTGGTATCTTTAACCCTCTAGCTGTGTACATCATCCACACTGGGGCCAATACTAAAAGGAGATGAGGGTTGGGTAGAATGTGATTTTCATGTCAATGAACTAGAGTCAGAAAGGTAGAAGGAAAGACATTCCAGGTTCTAACTACCTTTACGTATCATAACTTTCTTTTTCTTCAGTATTCCTTGTTTATCTTCCAAATGCATTTCTTTCTCCAATGAACTACTAGCTCTATTTTTAGATTTCTAAAGTTAACTGATAGTTCCAGTGCAGTTTTCATCCAAAATAACCTCTTTAAATACTGGAAAAAATGAGAGAGAGACGGTTATATTCCTTACCTAGAGGAACCTCAATGTCACCTATTTGTGGCATCTGCCAGTTTCTGTTGTCCTTGTCAGTGAATAATCTCCTCTTACTTGTGGCTCTTGTGAAGCCTGTAAGTGATAACTTATCTGTAGTCAAAGTCCAGTTGTTTTATTTGATAAAAGTTGGGATGTTCATGAGAGAGAAAAACAAAGAACCATAAATAATAGGCTGAATCGTGTTTTAAAAGAAAATAAATATATAGCTTTAAATCTGAGTAACATGAGGATATTTCTTCTTAAATTCTAACTAATTGATTTGAATGTTTCAAATCTGAATCACATTTTATAACTTGAAATTGAAACATGAAAATAGGTTTCCATGACTGCTAAAAGTGTGTGGTGCTCTTGTCACTGGTCACTCTGTAAACGCTGAAAATTTCAAGTGTGTTTCACTGTATTTAATTGGTATTTTTTAACCTTCTTCTTTAGGCTGTGTTTCTCTGCTCCTTCCCGGCTGTATACTCTGAGCTGCTGAAGCTCTTCGATGTGCGAGAGGTGGCAAACTTGGTGCATGATACTCTAGGCAGCTTGCCAACCATCATGCATGTGGATGAATCCCTTCAAGCTGTTAAACTGCAGTGCATTGGTAAAACAGTGGAAAGTCAACTATACACTAATCCAGGTAAGGTGATAACATCCTGAGCTGCCTGCAGTCAGAATAGCCTTAATGACGTCTCTCATGCACAGGTCAACAGAGGCAGGGGTAAAAACACAGGTTTCATAGTTATGTTTCTTGAAAGTTACAATTCCCAAAGCATTGTTTTGCAAAGACAGTTACACTAAAAAAGTCTCTGTTTTACACAATATGGTTAGTAAGATTCCAGTTGTAAAACATGAGACTAGTAATGGCCAAAGCTGTGGTTTTGTTTGAACCATGAGCTAGTGCTGGATAGGTGTAGGCATGTGGAGTTTTTGTTACATTTTTAGCTCTGCTAATGTGTCTTTTTGTGAAAGTTACAAGCTTTTTTTATCTTAATGGGAAGTCTTGGAGTCTAATTCTTACACACCCATAAAGGAGTTTTGTCTCTGTAATTATTGCAAGTTCAGGACCTATGATCCTCCATTGCCCTACACCAGTTTTATGCTGATGTGTCTCCACTGAGATCAATGGAGTCACGACAGCATAAAACTGTAGTAACTACCTATATGTGTGGTACCAGGGTAGCTATGTAATAGAAAAATCAAAGAGGTTTGTAGAAAGAGCAGACTTACCACTGGAAACAGTACTTTATGAGAATGGAACACAACCACTTCCCCATTCATACAACCACTTCCCCATTCATATTGCAATTTCTTCTTGTACATTGTGAAAGTGGCCAACTCCCAGAGTCTGATCCTCCAGCAGCCCCATAGCTCCTTGTCTGCTTTGTACCACTTCAGTAATGCAAACCAGATAGAAATCTAGCAGATCCGGCTACTTGGGGACCCTCTTGGGGTAAGAAGTATATCACAAGTAGGGCCAGAATATTGCTGTGCTCTATCTATTCCTGGAAACCATAATTGGACTGCTCTAAGTTACACTCGTGGACAAATCAGCCCCAGTGTCCCTGAGTGCAGAGGGGCTTAAATAAAAACACATTTGTCAGTATACACTCTGCCCCTCTTCTCCCTTTGGCTGTTCCGAGCAGAGCTCTGCTGCAGTGAGAGTTTGGCCTATTATTTTATGTACATGGGAAGGACTGAATACAGTATGTGGATTTTTGGCTGCATCCTAGCCAGAGTGATTTTAATCTATCTCTGTTTATTAGTACAAAGTGAAACCAAAGATGAGATGACAAGGATATTGAATTTTAACACAGCAAACTTTGGAAAGGCAAAACAAATGGAAGAAGCATTGATTGGAATTTTCAAAAGCACCTCAGTGATTTAGGAGCACAAGCCCCATGAAAGATGCGTAGGTGTTTTTGAAAATCCCACACTTATAGTAATTTAATGATAAAAGAAAATTGGAAGGGCGGGCTCAATACAAACATAAGTGGCAGAATGGGTAGAGTAGGAACATTAGCAGTTAGTGCAGGGGTGGGCAAACTTTGTGGGCCGAGGGCCACATCTTGGTGGGGAAATTGTATGCAGGGCCGGGGCAGGGGGTTGGGGTGTGCAGGAAGGGGCTCAGGACAAGGGATTGGGGCAGAGGAGGGATGCGGGTGTATGAAGGGGCCAGGGAAGGGGGTTGGGGTGCAGGAGGGGTGCGTGGTGCATGAGGGGGCTCAGGGCAGGGAGCTGGGGTGCAGAAGGAGTGCAAGGTGCAGGCAGGGGGGTTAGGGCAGGTTGTTGGGGGGTGGAGTGCAGGAGACTTCGGGCTCCGGGCCAGCGCCGCTTACCTAAAGCGGCTCCGGGGTGGCAGCGCCGTGCACCGGGGCCAGGGCAGGCTCCCTGCATGCCTGCCCAGTCTCCGGCTCCGCACTGCTCCAGGAAGTGCGGCCCCTGGGGGAGGGGGCATGGAGGGTTCCGCGTGCTCTGCCCTTGCCGCGCCTCCAGGTACCTCCCCTGAAGCTCCCATTGGCCGTGGTTCCCCTTTCCTGGCCAATGGGAGCTGCGGGGGGTGGTGCCTGGAGGCAAGAGCAACGCTCTGCCCCCCCCACCCGGGGGCCGCAGGCACATGGTGCTGGCCGCTTTTGAGAGGGGTGTGGGGCCCACGGCATCATGGGGGGCAATCCCGCGGGCCGGATCCAAAGCCCTGAGGGGCCGGATCCGGCCCATGGGCCGTAGTTTGCCCACCCCAGAGTTAGTGCCATATGCCATTCAAAGTAGAGTCATAGACTTTAAGGTCAGAAGGAACCATTATGATCGTCTAGTCTGACCTCCTGCACAATGCATGCCACAGAATCTCATCCACCCACTCCTGTAATAAACCCTTAACCTGTGTCTGAGCTATTGAAGTCCTCAAACCATGGTTTAAAGACTTCAAGGTGCAGAGAATCCTCCAGAGAATTCTCCAGCAAGTGACTCGTGCCCCACGCTGCAGGGGAAGGCGAAAACCCCCCAGGGCCTCTGTCGAATTTGCCCTGGAGGAAAATTCCTTCCCGACCCCAAATTTGGCGATCAGCTAAACTCTGAGCATGTTGGCAAGATTCACCAGCCAGACACCGAGGAAAGAATTCTCTGTAGTAACTCAGATCCCACCCCATCTAACATCCTATCACAGGCCATTGGGCATATTTACCGCTAATAGTCAAAGATCAATTAATTGCCAAAATTAGGCTATCCCATCATACCATCTCTTCCATAAACTTATTAAGCGTAGTCTTGAAGCCAGATATGTCTTTTGCCCCCACTGCTCCCCTTGGAAGGCTGTTCCAGAACTTCACTCCTCTAATGGTTAGAAACCTTCATCTAATTTCAAGTCTAAACTTCCTGATGGCCAGTTTATATCCATTTGTTCTTGTGTCCACATTGGTACTGAGCTTAAATAATTCCTTTCCCTCCCTGTTATTTATCCCTCTGATATATTTATAGAGAGCAATCATATCTCCCCTCAGCCTTCTTTTGGTTAGGCTAAACAAGCCAAGCTCTTTGAGTCTCCTTTCATAAGACAGGTTTTCCATTCCTTGGATCATCCTAGTAGCCCTTCTCTGTACCTGTTCTAGTTTGAATTCATCCTCCTTAAACATGGGAGACCAGAACTGCACACAGTATTCCAGATGAGGTCTCACCAGTGCCTTGTATAACGGTACTAACACCTCCTTATCTCTACTGGAAATACCTCACCTGATGCATCCCAAGACCGCATTAGCTTTTTTTCATGGCCATATCACATTGACGGCTCGTAGTCATCCTGTGATCAACCAATACTCCGAGGTCCTTCTCCTCCTCTGTTACTTCCAACTGATGAGTCCCCAGCTTATAACAAAAATTCTTGTTGTTAATCCCTAAATGCATGACCTTGCACTTTTCACTATTAAATTTCATTCTATTATTATTACTACAGTTTACAAGATCATCCAGATCTTCCTGTATGATATCCTGGTCCTTCTCTGTATTGGCAATACCTCCCAGCTTTGTGTCATCCGCAAACTTTAGTCCCAACAACAACGACAATGTGGTATTAATGTGAAGAAAGGGCAGAGTACCAAAGGAATTTAGAGAAAATTTCTGTCCTAAGCATAATGGATATGAAAGAAATTATTACCAAAATCAGTAATATGAACAACTAGTATAAATGATAAGGGAACAGAGACACGTCTTGGAAATATATTGTACAGTGTAATTCCGGTCACCAATTAGGGGAAGGATTTCCTGGAGCTCATCGTCTTCACCCCTTTCAGTCCTATAATGTTCCATTCCTAAAAATAAATACACATAGACCTTTCATCAGCCCAGACCTAGAGGGGAGCCCTCTCTAAGTCTCCATAGGGGAAAATAAAAATTGTGCTGAATTATTTAAGGTATGTTGATCTGAAAAATAGTAAACCATTTACATCCTGGTCCCTCAATTCCTGCTTGGCTGTAGTAAGTGTCTAAACATTCTCCATGCACTCCAGATTAAACCTAGCTGTGCTACAGGTCCTCACACAGAACCAATCATCCTGTCATCCCTCTCAGCAAAGGTATGAGAGAAGAGACTCCACCATTCCAGAGGCAACTCATGGAATTGCAATCCCAGAGGGAAACTGCATAGAGGTGGTAACTTCTCCTCTTCCCGACTGAAACTTTCAGCGTGACTACAGTGGGTACTGCATTCAACCAGATATCCTCCTGGGAGGAGGAATCTCATACTTTGTAGACCCTTGGCTCCACTATACATCAAACAGATGGGTACTGGAGATCCTGAAGTTGGGGTACACCCTGGAGTTAGGCTCCTTGTCTCACATCTTCCTCATCACATCACCAGTATTGAGAGAAGCAAGGATCCCCACAGGGTGGTGCCTAAATAGATTCCTTTTCTTGCTTCCCTACATTCGATTTCTCTTCGATGCTCATTGTATCATACAGTAAGAAATTAGAGGAGGACAAGGTACAGAATGGAAAATGTATTACCCAACTGTTTTCTTTTTGGGACTGATCTTTCCCTCAATCCATCCTACTGTGGATAGGTTTATCTGAGGTTACACTGCCCATCAAAAGAGCATTAATTGTGTACATCATTACATTCGGTGAAAACCTATATAAATTCAGAGATAAATCTTTCAGTCATGAAGTTTGTGATGAAATTTGAATATATCTGTATCTTTGTAAGTACCTGAAAAAGAGCTCTCTGTAAGCTCAAAAGCTAACCTCTTTCATCAGCAGATGTTGGTCCAATAAAAGATATTGCCTCACCCATCTTCTCTCTCTAAGTACTTACCTGGCAGACAATCAAACACACTTTTGCAACCATCTGACTAATGCCCCTTCAATTAAAAAAAATCACTTTTTCCCCCTTAACAGTGTTTCTTGTTCTTCACCCTATCTAGTACTACTTTTAAAATGAAAATAATGCTTTATGAAAAGTGTCAAATTGAGAGCTCTGGAGATTGAAATGCTCTGTTTAGACAGACCAGAAATGTCTGTCTGTTTTTCAGAATTCCAGCGGGAATTGTTTTTCTTTTTGTGCAACTAAATATCCCCACACAGTGCTTTCAACCTAATAAATGCAAAATTGAGTGTGTGCAAATGAAACTGCTTTAAAAAAAAAAGCAAATGGCTTCCTTGATTTTCATGCTCAAGCAGAAGGAGAAATAAAATACAAACAGAATACATACTGAAAAGTTAATTGAATTTTTAAAATTCTTTCGGTCTACAAGGTCTAGGTTGTAATTAGTAACGTAGCAATGAACTAAAAATTCTGTGCACAATATTTTAAAATTCTGCATATTTTATTTGTCAAAATAACACAATATAATCATGCCAGTTTCAATTATTTGGGTAATTTATTTCAAAATACCTGCCAGCAAGTATGTCTATAAGAATACAGACAACAAAAAAGATTCAGGAAATGTTTTTTGTCAAATAGATTCCTTACTAGACATATTAATACAGAACTTTGAGTAATAATTCATTCAAACTACAATACAGAAATGTATTTCCTGCACCTCTCAGAAGCAGTGCAAAAGGCTTGGGGGAGTCAGGGATAATGGAGAAGCAGAGGGCGAGGAAAGTAACCACTGGGAAGGATCCTGGGAGTGAACCTGGAGGGTTGCTAGGTGTGAATGAGAGAAGTATGGAACAGGTTTTGTTTTGGGGGGGGGGAGGAATTGTTAGGAAGTTGGGGAGCCTCCCTATGCAAACTCTGGTTCTAGCCTCTCCCATTCAGTCTGGAACATCTGCCCCATCCCTGTGTGTCCCTGTACCCTCCTTCCCCCTGTCTCCATGTGTCCCTGCACCCCAGTCAGCCACCCCCAGCCACCCATCTCCATATGTCCCTGCACGCCCACTCTCATGCAGCCCCTGGCTCAATGCTGTCACCCCACTAGTTTCTGTGTCCCCACCCCACTCTGTCCCTCCACTAGCCCTTCTGAACCCCAGTCTATGTGACCCATAGCAGCCTGTGTGCCCCACTCTGTCCATTTCCCCCCTCCCAATCCCGTGTCTCCTCACCTGGCCTTATGGGCAGGGCACTGTGAGGAAAGCTAGGGTTACCATATTTAAACATTAAAAAAGGACACTCCATGGGGCCCTGGCCCCGCCCCTTCCCCGCCCCAACTCCACCCCTTCCCCGCCCTGCAGGCGGATTCCCCCGCAGCAGTGGCGGCGGCTGCTGCTGCTCCCCCCAGACACCTCAGCTCTGTGCAGCTGAAGAGCCGAGCTGCCCGAGCGCTACCGGCTTCACGGTTTGCCGGGCAGCCCCCAGACCTCTAGACCCTGCGCCCCCGGCCGGGCGCTTCCCCTCCCGGGCTCCGGCTGCACTGGGGAAGCATCTGGGGGGAGCAGCAGCAGCCGCCGCCGCGGGGGAATCTGCCTGCAGCTCGCAGCCTGCCGGAGCCGCTCTAAGGTAAGCAGGGGACTGGGGCAGGGATGCCGGCAAACAAAGCTGGGAGTATTTTCCCGGACATGTTCAGCTTTTTGGCAATTCCCCCCAGTCGGGGATTTGAGGACCAAAAAGCCGGACATGTCCGGGAAAATCCGGACGTATGGTAACCCTAAGAAAGCAGCCTATGACCCCTCCCTCTCCGCTGCTGGCTGCTCGGCCTTCAGTCAGCTGCCATCTCTTCTGGTGCTACAGCAGCCCCTGGTGGGTAAAAGATATAACTGCAGCGCTTCCCAGCAGAATATATTCTCAGCTGAGAATTAAAAAAACTGCAGGGAACTTGAATTGTACGTGTGCGCAGTGGCACAGTATTCCTCCAGGAGTACTGGAGAGAAAAGGCCCTGAGTGTCTTTTAACCAGGGATTTGGAAAGACTGATGTCATGAAAATTTTATTTTTCCAATTTCTGTATAATATTTTTAAAAGCGAGTATTAGCATTTTAAACAGTCAGCTAATTTGGTTTTTGGAGCGGGTAAGGGGAATTAGGACAGAGTGACCAATGGCTAAGGCTTCTAAATATTGTGCTGTACCTGCATTCAATAATTTGACTATCTACAGTGGCTGACATTGTACCTGACAGTTGTTGAGAAAAAAGTAAAGCCTGCAGGCAAAACATACACATTGCTGTCTCTAACTTTCACAAATAGGTTTTAGTGGTGGGGATGATAGTTATCTCATCCTGTTCAGTGATCCCATCAGATCTCACAGCCTAAAGCAATTGTGACAGATCAGTTTTTCAGTTAGACATTTTCAAGGAACATGGCCTTTAGGTGGTGCAGGAAGTGATCTGAGTAACTCAGTAGGTGGCACTATCCCCTCCCTCCCTGAATCAGTCCCAGTAAGTCAGCGTAGTATTAGATGGCTTTGTGCTTTTGGTCGTGCCATCTTTTATTTGAGGTGTAAAACAAAGCTTTTGGCCATTTATGGCACTTTAGATTTCCAAGGCACTTTTGCAAAAGTAAACTTGTTAAGAAGTCTACTAATAAATAAGGAGGGGAGTCAAATTAAAGATGGCTTATAGACAGCTGAGGTGCTAAATTTTGCTTCCACATGAATAACTAGCAAGGATAGGAGATCCTGTAAAATAGTTAAAGAGCAGTCAAGGAGTACAGTATTTGGAAAATGGGTTTTCAAAGCCACAGGTTATGACACTTGTCTAAGGTTATATGGGTAACTAGCAAATGAACTTACTGACACAATGACAATGAGGGAAGACTGGAGGAAAAACAGAGCAGCGATAATTTTCAGTGTAGGAGAGAAGCTTAATCCTGGTAGAGACTACTATCCTGTAAATCAAACTTCTATATCCTTTTAAAAAGTAGATTAAATAGTAAGAGGGGAAAAAATCATTGATCATTCAGAGGTTAATGGAATCATAAGCAATTGACAACATGAGTTTATAAAAAATGTTCTGGCTAGACAAACTTGCTTCCTTTAGTGAAATAATGACAAATTTAATAGATTAATGGCAGCAGTGGGTTTAGTTTTTAATAATGCTTTTAAAATATCTTAATAGAAATACTAATTAGAGTAGATTTAAAATAAAAACAGTGTCTCAAATATATGTGTGTGTGTGTGTGTGTGTGTGTGTATATATATACATATATATATAAAATATATGTGTATATATATATATATGTATATATACACACACATATATATGTATGTATGTGTCTAGAGTAACTTAAAACAAAGGATAATAACAAGTTCCATCTGTCAGGAAGGGAGGTGGTGTCTAGTATGGCACCAATCAGTGTTAGGACTGCTCTCATTTAATATCTTTATTAATGATCAGAAAAGGAAGTAAACAGCACATGAGTGCAATTCACAGCTGATACTAAATTGGGAGAAGTCAGAAAAGAAAAATCAACAAAAGGACTGTGGGCAGAAAATGAGATTCAGCTAGGAAAAATGCAAGTTAATTCCAATAGAGACAAATAATCTGTATTACACAGTCTCAGTAGGAGGGAGAAATCTGAAAAGCAGTAATAGTGAAAAAGAACTGAGGGTAGTAGTGGACAGTAAATTAGATCTGAATTTGGAAAGTGATATAGTTGCAAAACAGGCCAGTGACAAACCAGGGAGGTAGGAGAGAATAGTTTCCATGTCATTTTGTATACCTACATTATTATGCTAACATTTTCTGCATGAAAGTTGTATAAATATGTAGTTTTATTTCACACACAGTAATGGTATATCTAGAGACGATTTCTTCTTACTCAGCAAAAGGTAGTACGTGAAATTTTTGTTTTTGTTATGATATGGTATGAAGTTGCTGAAAGCGTCTGATGTTCAGGAATATTTGTATGGATATAAGACACATTTACAGTTTATATATGATTATATTTTATTAAAATATATATAAAATGAAAAAGTGTCATGAAAGGATTCCACTCATACCCTTTCTCTCTCCTTGCAGATTCCAGATATATTCTTCTTCCAGTAGTTTTACATCACCTCCACATGCATTTACAAGAGCAGAAGGATCTTACAATGTGTGCACGTATCCTTAGCAACATATTTTGTTTCATAAAGAAAAATAGCTCAGTAAGTAAATTCAGGTTATGAACAGTCGTTTTTTTTTTTACCTTCATTATTTGGCTCCTTGTAATAAAATAAACTGTCCCTTGAACAAAAAGTGACATTTAGAGCATTCTCTACGAATGGAACCTTCATGAATGTGTCAGTTTGATTTTTCCTCAATTTTTTGGACTGTTGCAAGAGTATTTTTAATCTAGTACTCTGTGTTCTACTGAGCTTTGACACTGTTCCAGTGTTCTAACATACAGTAATTCAGATCTGTTTTCAAAGAGAAACAGAGAAAGATTGTCTGGTTTATGTTATAAATTCTGTTGTAAATAGCATCTTCTTGTCAGGCCCGTGTTTTAAGGTTGTAGGAGCTTTAAAAGAGGCCACCTCCCTGTTTCAGCCCACCTGGACTTGAGGAAGCTTGGAGTCAGAAATGCTGCTTCACTTGCAGCCTGCCCTGCCCTTTTTCCATTGAGAAGAGCAAACTAGGGAGATCTTTTAAGAGGGACACTTACTACAGCCACGCAGGAATTGAGGGACGTAGGGCTGCTTCTTCACTTGTAGCCTGGTCTGCCCCTTATTATTGACCTTGTTTTGGTGGGTTTGTTGGAAGTTGACATTCTGAAGATAGTTTTTGTGTGTGTATTGGATGAATGGATTGAGTTGGGTGACCTGTTCATGGATATGAAAGGGATGTACTGACTGTGAGAAAGATGATGTTCTTAACGAGTTCATAGATGGAGGATAAGAGGACTGTTTAAAAGCCCGGGCATTGAGTGGAGTGGGTAAGGAAGAGATTTGTGGAAGGGTTTAACAGGATTGATCATTTGTGTTGGGTTGCTCTTCTGGGACTGCTGAGCCACCAGTTGTGATGGCCTGTCCTAATAGCCAGGATCTGACTCTCAGCCCTTTGGATAGACCTCTTTAGTAGAACTGTCCTGCCAGGATCTTTGTGCTGTCAATGTGAAGGTTGACCCACAGTGGTTTGGAAGTGTATTGGGATTAATAGACCACTTATTCATGTAGGATAAGTGAAGAGGATGTGCTCTGAGCTAATCTATGCACTGTTGGAGAGGGCTGATCTGACGTATTTGGAGACTGTTTGTTTGCGGGGCTGTTGGTTATGATGGACTTTGCAGATGGGTCTCAGTGTTCTTATTGGGGCACCTAGCTGTGATGGCTGCATCCCTCTGAAGGCCATCTTAGGTTGGCCATGAAGGTTGAATGACAAGTATCAGAGGGGTAGCCGTGTTAGTCTGGATCTGTAAAAAGCAACAGAGTCCTGAATACCATGAAACATGCGTCTGACGAAGTGGGTATTCACCCACGAAAGCTTATGCTCCAATACATCTGTTAGTCTTAAAGGTGCCACAGGACTCTCTGTTGAATGACAGTGCTTCATATTGGGGATATGGAGAAGTATCCTGATTGTGAGGGTTAGGTCCCCTCAATCCCTGTGGTAGAGAGAGACAAGGCAAGAAGAAAATAGCATCATACACTAATCGGTGTAGTAAGTGTGAACCATGCATGACCAGCATGGTTAGTCTCAGTTCCTTTGGTCTCACATTATAACAATTGTCGGGAATGCAGGACATTGGATCTGGATCTTCATTTCATGCAGTTGGATAATACCATCTATGACTTGATATGGGGCTATTATTTTGACATATTTTTGTTGCAGCTGCCCTGGAAAGGTGTATAGTTCAGCATGAGGTGATACATGATCTACGCTAGTGGGTAGCTATGTTTTTTTCATCTGACCTCAAATACAAGAGATCTTGCATCCTGAAGCCATGTCACATTGAATGTGTCCTCCTGGCCAGAGAGTCCAAAGATGGGCATCATACATGGTTGGTGGTGTTATGTAGGTTGTCCCTCTCTAATTCAGAGGCTGAGCTGATCATGTTCCTCACTTGAGTCACTGAGACTGATAGTACCTAGACATTTCAATCACTGTGTGTTATCTGCGATGAATTTTCTGGATCAGCTCACAGTTTCACAGCTGCCAAGATAAACATTGGACTGTAGTCTAAACACTCTGGTGTTGGGGTCACGAGTGTAGATTGGAGGGATATTACCCCTCAGCTACAGACTGACCACTATATCTTTTGGTCTGAAGTTGGAACATACTTGTCTTGACAGGGCGATGAAAATGTTTTGATGGTCTGCTTTCAGAAACCATTTCCAGGCAGCTTTGAAGGATGAGGTTATTCTTCCATTGCCTACTCTGACAATAATTTGGTAGGAGTTAATAATAATCATTTGTCCTACCTTATTGTTACAGCAGCCCCTAAACAAATTGTGTGCTGGCTCTGTCTTCACAAGTCACCTGGATTTACAGGTGAAGAGAGAGAGGAAATAGCTAGGGCCCCAGACTCCTGCTGAGTCCAAACAATAGCGACATAGAGGATTTTTTTTTTTTGAGTCTTTTAAAGAACATATGCTCTGGCTTTGAGGGAGGCAAAGACAAATTTCTTCACTTCCATCATAGCATCTGCAAAGTCCCACGCAAAAGAGTTAATTCGACTGTTTGCTGAATGCTGGCTGTCTCTATTTGGTTACAGAGTCAAGTGTTTCTTGCTGTGAAGAAATGTCACGTTAATTTGCAGATAAAATTGCTCAGCTAGGGACAGAGCAGTCTACTGCCATGGAAACAGAACAGTGTGTTGAGGGGGGAAAAAAGCTTCAGTTTCAACTCATTGAGCTCAGAGAGGTGCAGGTGTGCAGCTTTGTGCTACAATTTTGTCTCTCCAGGATGGTGAGAAAAAAGAGAGCAATGTTGAAGTACTGGGTCCACAGTTAGCTGAGGTTGTCAGCATTTCCCTATAGAGGGTGAGGCACTAGAAATCATGGGGAGATCAATGTTCAAGAAGCCAGCTCTTTACTCTGGTAATAAACCAGTATCCAATCTCCCATTTTGGGGCAAGGTAACAGAAAACTTGGTGGTTCTTGTGAGGCAGCTGCCTTAACTGGTGTTCTTACCATAGCAATGGATAGAGGTAGTGTCTGCAGACTCTTTTAGATCTATAAGCAGCTTTTGATACCATTGACCATGAGATTTTGTTGACTTGCTTGTGGATCCTAGTATGGATGGATGAATTGCTCTTAAATAGCTCCATTTTTTGGCCACTAGAGATATTGCCCAGGGATAGTTGTAGGCAATTGTTTCTCTGCCTCGGGGTTCTTACTTGCAGGGAGTCTGTATTGTCACCCCTTTTGCTCAACTTATAGCACTGAGAGGGTGAGTGGTGAGACAGTAGACCACATTGTATTCATTATGCTATATCTCCATGTTTGACCAGGCCAGAGAAGTGAAACAAATAACCCAGTGTTTATACTAAGTTAGGGCTTGGATGTGGGCTAGCTGTCTGTGACTAATCAAGACAAGATAGAGATGATATGTTAGTGTTTTGAGGGAAGCCACCCCACGATTTCTCTGAACTTGTATTTGTGTCCTTGCCTGAGGGAATGCAACTGGCAGGTGTAGCACAGGTGCACAAAGAATAACTGGGACCATTCAAATGTTAATATTTACTATCACAATAAGTTGCTTTTTGTAAAAATCAATAAAAGAAATCAACCTCCCAAACTAACTGAAATTTAAATTAGTGTGACATTAAGAATGTTGAGTAAAAATAAAATAAACTCAGGAAGTGCAAAAGTTCAGGGTTTTACAGAAATATTAACTAAATTGCAAATCCTAGGAATATGGTGCATATTTTAAGACAGGCCCGTATCCCTTAAAGGGATTCATGCAGGTGCAAGTATGCACACCCATGAATTACCTTCAAGGATTGGGGCCGTCAACATTAATAGATTGTTTTGACGCGGATCACCAGATGGTGCTGTTTCCACATGGTCCTACAAGTTCTTTTTCTTAGTATGCGAACAGCATACAGTCTTTGAAGAAATGCAGGGTTTATTTTGTAATGCAGGTTCTCTTGGGGGAGCTGTTGCCTTACAGCAGGAGAGTTTGTTCCCTTCCTTGACCTCTCTAATGAGAGGTGGAATTCTTGGACCAGAGTGTTTGGGCAGAGATTACTGGAAGATAGGATTGCTTATGTGTCATATGTGATTACCTCTGTTCAAGGACTGATGTATAAAGGGTAACTAAAACAAGTTACAATACCCAGATTCTGTGTTGCTGATTTCTTCTCCAATAGGAAATTGACCTGCAAGACCCAAAATCTGCTACCATTTGGCAAGTGGGTGAAAATGTAATAAATGATTATATAAAATAAAAATAAATTAATAGGTACATTAATTAAATAAAATGAATAACATAAAAATAATAAAAAATTAATTTGAACACTAAAATGGGGAGATTGCTACATATGTGTAACGTAGCAAAATTAAAATATGTATTTCCTAGTTTTTGTAATAACTGTGCATCTTTAACACTGCACTAACTTTGTTCTTCCTTGTTAGTTAACATTTATGGCCATGTTCAGTGGTCTATATTTTGGCTCCTTTGCATTATTCTGATGATGCAAATCAGCTATAAACTTGCATAACTGGCCAGATATATGTTTGCTTTCTGTCATTGGAGTGCTGCAAAGTAGCTGGTCGTTACCGGGCTATTTGGCCTTAAAAAGTTGCTATACTTAGTACCCATCTGTTGGTTTTTGGTGGTAGTTTCTTTGCTGATCACATAAAGTATTCAAAACAGAATTCTCTATGCTTTAGACTTTAAATCTCCTCTGTCAGTTTATATGGCTAAAATGTATGAGTGTTGGCTGTAAAAATCTTGGCCAAATAGCCTTCATAAATCATGTACTACTTTCCTTTATACTGTACCTTGAAAAAGGATTATCTTTAATGATGAGTACTTAGACTCATGGTTTTATAACTGTCTTCTATATATCAGTAACGTAATTCATTTGAGAACAGTGGATTCAAGTAAATGGAATGACTCTGTTATCTTGGGTAGAAAATATTACTGAGGTTTATAAAGTGCAGCAGCCATGATGAAAACTAATTCTCACCTCAACTAAACTAATCCAGTTGCTAACACTGTCCTAGGGAAAATTCTGCATGTGTCTGTTCCTTTTTCAATAATAGCAATCTGAAAAAATATTTTTCTTTATCTTAGGAAAAATCCGTCTTGGAAGAAATAGATGTGATTGTGAACAGCCTGCTAGATATACTGTTGAGAACCATATTAGAGATCACAAGCAGACCTCAGCCATCAGGGTCTGCGATGCGCCTGCAGTTTCAAGACGTGACTGTAAGGTTTTCATCATAAAACAGACCCATACCAATTTAAGACTGTCACTGGGCTCTTAACTCATCCCACTGTGTTTAGGTGGATTGCCTTATGTGTTGTAATGCTCATTGTTAATCAGGTTACCTGCTGGTTTGAAAAGATTGCATTATGGGGCTAAGGGGGATGAGGGAAGTGAAGTAGATTTTACTTGCTTTTCTGACTTTCAATGGAATCATTAGTGCTGTATGGTTTTATTTATATATCTATTTTTATACATTGTAGTAGCCAAAAAATTAAGGGGGCGAAATTCTCCCATTTGACATTCTGTTAGGTCAGTGGCAATTTTATTATGCTGCTTTTGTTGAGAGTTTAACAGCTTCCTGGATGGACTAGTACGCAACACTCATGAAGATGAAATAGTGTGGCAAAACATTAACATTTTTACCTCCCAAAAATCCAGATATTGGACAGGGGGAAAAAATCTCAAAACACACACACACACACACACACACACACACACACACACACACACACAC